ATTTATATACTCCTGATTTCTCGAATTTGGATGTTTTGTCTTTATTATTTTCAACTAAATTTCCCAACGTATTACTCATTCTATATGCAATTTTAATATCTCGTTTCCTAAAAAAAAGAAACCACTTTCTCCATTGTTTGTCCAAAATATGTTAAAGCTGTTTACTGCAATTTGCTTGACGATAGGAATAGAATCCAGGAACATCAGATGAGCTATGTAAATGAGAAAACATGTTCAATATATTCGTTAGAAAAAAATCATATCTTCAACGTAGAGTTCGAAGTTTCACACATAGAAAATAATGGTTTGAAACTGAATCATTTGGAAGCAATGGACATTTATGAACTTAAAAATTCAAACATTCTGTTGAATGACCAACTGGATTTGAATAGATCACCATTAGTGAACTTGTTTTCTTAGAAAAACCAAAAAAAAATTATTATTGATGTAGAAGTGAGGTGATCATAAACACGTCGTGATATATTTTTCAAATTAAGTTTATTGAGATCAAATCGTGAGGTGTAGTTTATGAAATTCGTATGTAATCATTTATCAAATCTGCCATAATTTTATGCTTTCCATAATCTACTCGTCTTCTGAACAATGATCTCGTCTAGTATCATGGTTTTTTTATCATCGCTCCTTTTGCTCAAAAGATTGTATCATAAAAAAATTGCAGCACTATAAAAACATAGTCTAGAGAAGGTATGACGAAAACTTCTCGTGTAGTGGAAACGACGAAAAAATTTCACAACAAAACACGCCACTCTAGTTTTTGTCTGTTTGGTGGAATTCAAGTTTCGAGTTTGTTTTCAAAACTGAAACAAGTTTTTGTTTCTGTTTTTGAAAAGAAAAATAGTCGCAAGCGAGCGCATTTGGTGAAAATCCGCTTTTTGACGCCTGACTTGTTTCTGTTCATAAATCCCTGCTGCGGTTTCTTCATTTTTGTGTTCTCAATTCTCAAAAAAAGTAAAGTTTTACTGCACTCCAATTCCAGTGATATCAATTGTTGAACAATTTCCCTCGAACTATTCAAAATGTAGTTTTATATCAAGAATTCGCAAGGTAGGTGAGCAATTATCGATCTGGGAGTCTCCGATTGCATTTAGCATTCGATCGATTGTAAAATTGTCGCGCAATCGATACATGTATGGATTTAAAGGAGCATTCTTTTGAATGTCGATTTATACTTCTAAAGGATCATTTCAATTTGTTTTTACATTCCTTCTCCGTTTTAGTTCATCGAGAAAACTATTTTTCATGTTTGATGGTGATTCAGATAATCATTTTGAAACTTATTCCACGATACTAAGAACCGTTATTCAAGATTGGCAAATTATTTTTATCATACCGGATGGGGCAGTCGTGAAAACGATCTTGCATGCAAAATGGATCTATTTATACTGAAAAAGCTTCACTCTTTTTCCAATTACCCGTTTTTGTAACAGTTCGAAAAATACTATAAATAAGATAAAGGAAATCGAATAGAAAAGTTACCAAATTTCTGCATGTATCCAACCGAAACAAGGTACATTATTCTTCAATTTTATTGTAATGAGGTTCGTGACGTAACTTCCAGTTTTCTCTTGAATCGTTTGGTTTGGCTAATAAGGAGAATTAAGTTTTATTTCTTTCTCGTCGTATCTGATTGAGGTAAATAAAAATATCATAGCAGCGAATTGAAATGATTCCCAGCTGTTTACGAGAAAATTCACTTCAAACTTCTCCTGCCGATGTGAAGGTCTTGACTCATAAAGGGTGGGAACAAATGAATTAGCCAATTCAAAAATAATTCATATTTTTCAATATTTATCAAGAAATTACGTTCTGATCCGTTATGTTTCGAGCAAATTCAATCACACGTTTAAGATCTTCAGCAAGAAAATGGACATTTTTTGACAACACCTATTACAATAATCTTGATTCTGTATTAGTTTCTACGGGGCTTTTGTTGCCTTGTGAGTCGATGCCTTGCATCTATAGCTTGGAACTCCCATATACATGCTCATTTCATTCAGGTATTCTCTAAAAATTGACAATGTTCTATGAGTAACTCTGAAATCAGTCTATACCAGTTTCAGTTTTGTTACATTCTCCTAGTATTATTTTTCAGCGGCTGATCTGGTTCCTCATCAATGTTTTTGGTTTCCTGACAGTCAGTTCATTAACCATGGAATTTTTGATCCATGTCTGTCACAGTCATCAGCTTTTTTTTGCCTGTGATGCCTGTGATGCCGCATTTAATCATCAGACAGCGCTGATTGGACCCGCATGAGTGGAGCCATACGCAGACCACACCTGTTTCGGCTCAAGAAAGCATTGCAAACCTGATAGAATGTTCTCGTTATGAAAATTTGGCAGGCTTCGAAACATTTTTTTTTGGTTTATCAACAAGTTTTAGTATGCGGACAAGTCATTAGCCTCGTGTTTTGGGTAGATAATGGTGATAACTCCTCGAGGCACCTAGTCCGTCAGCCATGTAACATTGCAGAATCATCTCAACTAGATGAATTCTCTGGAGAAAAATATCTGCTTGAGGTTGGGATTGAACCCATGACCTTTCTGTTGTGAGTCGGACGGACTCCTAGAAAAATTTACCATTGTTCATTTTTTATATTTACCTTCATTTTTCATATTTGCTACATGGATCCTGTGAATTTTTGAGTGAATAGTCTTTCAGTTGAAGTCAATTAGGGGCATAGGGGCATGATGCGGAGTGTAAAAAACATTTTTGATGGCATTCTAAATTTATTTCAATATTTGTTGAAGCTCAGTATGATGAAGTTAATACAATATCAAGTTTTTTTATGTTATTAAGAGTGTTAATAACTTTCGACACTCAGTTACTTACCCTAAATTTTTCAGACGGTACTACTGGTTGACCTGCAACTTCCCATTGAATGATTGGCTGTTCTTCATCTGAACCTCTAACTCGAACACAGAATGAAGCGTTTCCTCCCTCAGCTATCATCACTGGAGATGGATGTTTCAAAAATTCTATTTGAGGAATGTCCATATCTTTCTCTGAAACGAAAAAAAAAAACATGAGAATACCACTGAGTGTTGTTTATTTTTGATAATCTTAGGAAACAATTGTGGTGAAATTTCACTGAAATTCTTAAATTCTTTTCCAATGCAATATGTGAAAAATGCAATGACTATTTTATTTCAAACAGTGAAAATGTTGGTAATACAACGGGGTCAAAAATAAATCAGTTCAATGGAAAGTCACGAGTAGTGCATAAAAATTCATATATTACTATCCCAGGTATTGATGGTACAGATCTGGTGAAGATTTTACTGAAAGACTCATTTTTCTTGAAGCCAACGAATGAAACTGAAGTGCAAACTGTAATTGCTTCATTGAAAAATTCAAATTGTTTAGATGCCTATGAGTTCCGTTATGGTGAAGATGGCATGTGATGCTCTTAGTGAGACTATGGCACACCTAGGAGATATTTGCTTCTCCTGTGGAATGTTTCCAGCGAACCTAAAATTATGCCGAGCAACAACAATCCAAAACAAGGGAGATCCAAATGATTGCAATAACTATAGATTTATTACCATAACTCCCATTGTATCAAAGATCATTGAAATTCTAGTCAAAAACAGACTTTTTGTATTCTTTGAGGGGGATAGATATTTGAATGATGCTCAGTATGGTTTCAGATCACAAGCAATGACGGAAATTGTTCACACCTTTTCCTATAATGAAAATTTGGGTATCTGCACCCGCTTACTTCTTTGAGATCTATCTAAAGCATTTGACAGTGTTTCAGATGAGACATTATTGTGAAAACTTGAAAAATATGGTATTAGAGGCATAACGTATGACCTAATACATGCTTTATCGACAGACAGGCTGCAATAAATATTAAATAACAANACCAGTACTTTTCGTCAAATATATAATTTCAATGGCTGACTTGAATTCGTTAGAAAAATCAATATGTTTGCTGATGATACATCTTTGATATAATCAGGAAATAATTACCAAGAAATAAAAATAATATGCTTTCTGATCCAAATATTCGTTATGTAATTGAATCAGATATGATCATTTACAGGATTGCTACACAATACAGTGAATGAAAGAGGTGAAATTTCACTCACATGGAACACCCACTGGTAGACATCCTATATTTCGGCATAAGACACTCGCCCTATTCACAAACTGAAATGGTAAGAGTGTTTTTTTCATAACTCGGTGTTCATATAAAAACATTTGTGTCAAAAGTATTTTTCTTTCTGGAATTGATTGCTTTCTTCATTTCTTTGGAAGATTCCCATATTTTTTTGTATACAGATGGGAAAAAATTGATTCCAGATATATTCACACATGAGACCCTTATCGATACAAAATAATTCAAATTACCAAAATTATTGAAGTCGATTTCTAATACTGCAATAATCCCTTGTTTTACCTACATCTTACTATTTTTCTTTATCAACTTCGATTCATTCAAATCTGTTGATTTTTCAATCTATTCAGTTATTAAAAAATGTCTAGGTAATCCATGTATCAATGATCTACAAGCACTTGAAGTTGCTTAATAATAGTCTGAGGAACATCCATGCTCTATCTGCGTCTGACTAGTAGAATTAAAACGAAAAAAGGACTATAGTTCATTGAATCAAAAAGAAAGACCCTTTCGGTAAGCCATACAATTTTTTCATCTAAAGATCATGCATTCAATCAAATAGCTTAGTTATATAGAAATTGGAAACTGAATAAATCAGTATAAAAATAACGCACTACTTATATATGACCACTACTAGTGTTAATTTTTCAGTTTTTTATCATTGGTTTCTGTAATATATATGTATATACCCTGTATATATTCCTATATGAGTGTTTCGCAAATGTATTAAGTGGGATTTTTCACACTCAGATATTGAACGGGTGGCTTTTGATTTTATATAAAGACATTTGAGATTATTAATATTTAATAAAGGAGTTATTCGGGCTACTTTTATTATTTTCATACAGAACTCACGATAGAAAGTTCTGTACATCACAATTTCTCAGCAATAAGGATATGTCTGTTTCATAGTCAGAGTATATCAAATTTAAAATGAGAAATCCGTTTCAACAACGTTGCACTAAAGCAGGCAACATACCATCAATTCGTTTGATTTTGGGACGGTGATTTGTGGAACGTGCGGATGGGCTTTGTCGTGGAGCAGGATTGGACATCTTTTGTTGACCAGTGCAGGCTGCTGTTGATGCAGTTTTTGGTATATTTCGTCGATTTCCACACAATAGGACTCGGCTGTGATGATTTGGCCCGGTTGCAGAAATTTATAGTCAATCACACCTGCCGTTGACCACCATACAGTAACCATGGTCTTTTTTTGATGGGTTTCCACCAAGTGTCTTGGTGGATCATCGGTATCCAACCACCGGCACCGTCCTGAACGTCTATTGTTGTCGTAGAGGATCCACTTTTCGTCACACGTGATGATCCGATACAAAAAAGGATCGTTTTGGTTGCGAAGAGGCAAAGAAGATAATAACTGACTTAGGAACGTGACAATTTCTGTCGATCGTTCGAGGGACAGCCAGTATTTGAGATTTTTAACCTTTCCAATACGTTTTGAACCATCAAAAATCGAATGGGAGCTGACGCCTAGTACTTCTGCCATCCCACGCACTGTTTGTGATGGGTTAGTCTCCACCAGGGTCCCCAAATCCTTGTTCTGGATTACCGTAGGTCGACCACCTCGGGACTTATTTTTGAGTCTGAAATCTCCGGAACGCAATTTCGCAAACCAACGTCGAATCAACACCATTTGCCAAATACCTGATTAATTTTTCAGGCCATTTCAGCAGAGCTTCGGTTCAATATGATTTCGTAGAGAAAAATTTGGCGAAATTCGCTTGACGACATCATATTGGCAATAATATGAAAAGAGGCAAAAAATTGAAATTTGGAAAGAATGAAGAGCATCACTGAATAGAATCCAAACATTTCCATCGATCAGTATATATACCACGACGCAGAAGATTCTCACTTTTTTTTTATCAAGACGGAGTAGTAGAAAGCTAAAAACTTTCTTTCCCAAAAAATTAATCACTACTAAAAATATAACCCTTTCAATTTAAACAAGATTCCTTTGGGATTTGATCAAATAAAGGACTGAATGTCTTTTTTAAAGCACAAAACAGAAGCACTACAAGAAAATAACTAAGGCGCTCTTAGAGCGGTACTAGTGCGAAAGTAGTGATTCACATTGGATTTGAATCGCTGGAGATGAAATCCATTTGGAAAAATGTTCTCAGGAAGTTATTTCCACATGAACGCCATTCTCCAAATGAAAGAGTTCTCAAAGAGTGAGGTTCGAGGTATAAAGAGTTGAACCTCAAAACGATAAGCAGCCATAGTTTGTCGTGTATTTCTGATATGTACCGGTCTTGGTGGAATCAAATGTGCCAAGTCACTTGAACATTTCCCGTGAAAGTATCTATAGAAGAGAGACAAATCTCTAACCTTTCTTCGATGTTCCAGACTATCAAGGTTGCAAGTGATGTTCGCGTCTCCAATCAGGCGGATAGCTCTTTTCTGGATGCAATCCAGCAGTTTCAGGGTATGTTTGGAGGCGGAGCTCCATACATGAGAACAATACTCCAAAGTATTGTCATCGATAACATGAATATATTAAATTTATTCCGTGACATAAAATCGTAATTTTATGAATGAATTGTGTGTTTTTAATCATAATGTTATCCATATTGGTACTGAAGAGCCCTAAGGCAAGTGTCTTACGGCGAAACACCTATCTCTACCAGTGAGGATGACAGTGTTACATGTAAGTGAGAGTTTTACCTTTCATTTAGTATATTTTGTAGAAATTCTGTGAATGATATCTGATTCAGTTCCATTATGAATGTTCGGAATACAAACTGAGTAGAGACAAGTGTGTTTTGTATAAATCAGTGTACATTTAAAAGTATTTGTTTCGAAAGAATTTTTCTTTCGTGTAATTCAATGTATATTTGAGAGAAGCTGTTTCAGGAGAGCTTTTTTTCCCAGTTTGTGTGAAAGTTACTTCTTTGCATGATCTACACATCTATGTATACGTCTTTTGAAATTGGTTGCTTCCTTCTCTTCTTTTTTTGTATCAAGATGGAGTGGTAGAAAGCCAAAAACTTTCCTTTCCAAATATTTATTGAGATATGGAGCTACAAAAACATATAAAAATAAAACGGACAAAACTTTTCAAACAACCTGATACTTTCTGCAAGTGTATTGTAGAACATAACGGCGTCAAATGTGAATCCTCTTTGAAAAAGTCCTGTGTAAATGTTTTTACCTCTATCGTTCATCTTTTGTATATCACATTTGAAAGGAGTTTGTTATGATCTTCATTTTAGTTGTTTGAGAAAAGTTTGTAGACCCAGGTCTCTAGGCGTGATTTACTAAATTCTTCTGGTTGAGCCAGCAGGGATATTTTATCTTTCAAGACACATGATCGTGTCTGTGGAAACAGTAGATAAACCAATCCCAGGATAACTTTTGTAAAGTAGAGACCGATAAGTGAAATATGTTTGGAAAATATATTTACAGAAAAAACTCTATATGGCCNAGGCGGTCTCTCTAAGGATTTTCTATGAAAGTTATGCAATTGGAGAAAAATTAATTTATCAAACTTTCACGTGTGCAGCGTTGATAACATATTGTTTTTTTTGTACCACGTAGAATTTTGTAATACACTCTATTCAGGCTCAAGAATTCATTCAATGAAATATATACAGAAACGACATGACGGACGAAATATATGTAGATGAAGAAATGAAAAAATGATATCATTTCATTCCGGATACACAAATATTAGGAGGCTGATCTATAAGTCCATGACAGTATTTTCTGGGGGCGTCAGCTCCTCACACATATGACGATGTACTTGCAAGAAACCAACAGCAGCGTTGGGTTCACTCGTTTATCTGAATCAATGGGCATATCAATTCACTATTGCGACACAAACCGCAACTGTACTGGTGTTCGATTCGCGGTTACAAGAGTGAATAAATAACAAGCGAATGTTCCTGCCACGGATTTGTCTCGCTTAATTAATTTGATAAGTTTTGAACATTTATCCATCGAGATGGGGACAGAAATATCAGAAGATGAAACTTTTATAACAAATCGGGTGAGGAAATAGTTAAACATGCGAAAAAACTGTTTTATGCAGTTTGCAGAATCACACCAAAGTCAACGAAGGACCATCAACTCAATTGAATCAAGTGAAAAAACAAAAATTATTTCTATTGATTTGAATGGTAACAGATAGAAGAAAGAATATGTGAAAGAATAGAATAAAATTTGTGAGAATTTTAATGATCACTTCGTCAACATTGGTTCAAAATTATCATTCACCATTGTGAAATTGTGGAATTCATTTATTCCTTATATCCAATTCAATATGGCTTTCGAATGTCTAATCATACAGAATGTGCCACTTTGGATATGATCTTTAATATTCAGTTAGAATTAGATGTGTGAAGCTTTTTATACTGGTTATCAAGACATTTTGTAGAACAAATTATTTTGATGTTGCTATTAGAGGTGTTTTATGGTTTCAAAATTATTTGAGTGATAGGTAACGTGTATCTTAGGATTTTACTCCTTTTCATTCATATAAATTCGATTTCTGAATTACAGCTTTCGGAAATTTATTACTATTTGCTGATGATACAACTTTGATCTTTCTTTTATCGACCTTTTTTTGGATATTTTTACCTTCCACAATGAAAATATGAAAATTATAATGGAGAATATTATACAAGATTAGAAAGAGTAAACTTTTTAGTCTACCCCGATAAGTTACTTTTACCTATCAAAAAAATTGCTAAGAAATAATACCATACTTCTCTTTACGTTTCGGAGACCAAAATCTACCTCCGTCTTCAGAAATGGACAAAAAATTCAAAGATATTTGCAGTTATTAGTTTGCTGATTATTTATTGCTCAGCTTACGTCTCTTAGAGTGAGGCTCATTGGTAAATATTCATTCTTGTCTCGTTCCATTCAACTCAATGTTCACCAATTTTAAAATGTGTTCTGACCATTTAGATCCTGTCAATTGTCTATTTTTTATATAATATCGATGTTCATTCTCACGCTCTTTCAATGGTCCCGAAGTTTCATCAATATAACTTTCACCACAAGAACAAGGTATCTCATTGATATAATTTTTTGTTTTTTATCCTGTGTTGTTGAGTTTTGTATATAAGAACTATTTTCAGAACAAAAAATACACGGAGATGTATACTCACACATACACCCAAAAAAGGTTGATAAAAAATTGATTTTCCTCCACAAAAAATGACTTTCGTTGAACTTTGATACATCAACAAATGGAAGAACAGACATATGTTCATTATTAAAAGGCCCTGTAAGACAGCAACTTCCAAATTATTGTTACGACCGCAACTCGCCCGCGTGGGCGTAAATATCCTAAAAGGATATTAGACCCCGTTCTGACTTGGAACCAACACCAAGAAAGAGTAAGAGAAAGGAGAAGGTAGGATGCATCTAGGAAAGACTTGGAGACTGAAACCAGACATGATGTACCAGCTCTGAACTATGATGTTTAAACCCCCGATAACGCATACATCTTTGGTCTGGTAGTCAAAGATGGAGCAAACGATTGATTTTAACAAATTAGGCAAGGTGCAAAGACTTGCTTAATTAGGAATAACGGGAGCAATGGAAACCACTCCAACAGCTGCATTGGAGACGTTTTTGAATCTGATTTATTCAAATCTGGTCACGATGGGAGATACATGGGTGGACCAATTCATAATGCAAAATTCACAAAGTTGCGAGGAATCGGGATAGACATAAATTTCGAAATTCAACATGTTCTCAAAATCGAACATGTGATGGAAGATGGAATTTACTGTGCGGGGAGAAATGCCACAGAAGTACAGAAAAAAAAAACTTGTCATATTCTATGCGAATGTGATCACAGATCACTAGATCACAGAAATCAAAAAATATTTGAACATTAAACGTTATGTCCGAAAGGATATGACAAACATCCAACAAGGGACCTCAACAAATTAGCACAGGGAACCATATTGTTGAAATGGGTATCATGAAAGAAATGGACGGAAAACGTAATACGCCTATAAAGCTGCAGTGTTCTCCAGAGAATAGAAAGAAATACACAAGTCAGGCAGCTTCTAAAATCAACAAAAAATTATGAGTTGTATATCATTCTCATTAATTATTAACCCCTTTTTTCTCTTTTTTCAATATGTTTCAATTTCGGGAGTATATACTAGGTTTCTTACAGGCTACGAAATCAGTAGTTTTTATCTTTCCACAAAAGTTGATGGAGTCAATATACGGCGTGATGGGGTGTTTTTTTATCATCTCAGTAGCCTATTATAGTGGTGTGACAAACAAAGTACTGGGATGCTATTTTACTCAAGCAAGTTGGAAAAATTAGGCTTGGAATCGAATATATAAATTGATTATTTGATTCCCATTCATTGCACACAGCTAATAAATAAGGTATAAATAGTTCGGGTGTTTTAATTTCCACTGAAAATATCCAAATCTGGACTTCTGAAATGATATTATAAAGGGAAAAGATTTGTTTGTTTATCATAGATGAACTCAGAAACTCCTCAATAAATGTTTTTGAATTCATTCACCTATGGAAAACTACAATTAAAAATATAACCTATATTTAATTTCCAAGAAAATCAGAAACACCTACAGAAATTGCAATAATGTATCCGAAGGTATCAAAAGGTGGACTATAAAAGTCAATTATTGGTATGTACAGTTAGTAATTTCCTTGAACTTGAAATAATGTTAAGACAATCATAATCATCCCTGATGTTTTTTTTCAAATACAGGTCTTGAACTATTTCGTATTAAAAAAAATAAAATCTTACCTAGAACTGTTAAGTGGCAAGTAGAGAATGAATCTCCGCATGAATTGTAAATCTCACATCTATAGTCTCCAGAGTCCTGTGGGTAAGCATCTGGTAGGGCTAGCGTGAAAATTCCATCGTTAGAAACACCCTGTCTGAAATCTTGACAATCAGGCAGAATACAGCCATCCTTCATCCAAACAACGTCAAAGGGCGGCGTTCCAATGGCCTCTACTCTCAAAGTAACAGGATTACCTTCGACTGCTACTATGTTTTTATCCAGACTCTTCAGGATTTCAGGTGGAACAGGATCCTCCTCGTATACCTCAAGAAAGGCATGAGTTTCAGCACATCCATTCTCATTTTCAGCAATGCAGGTATATAAACCAGCATCATTCATAGATACGGTTTCGATTTCAATTGCAGCAACTGATCCATCGTAAGAGTTGCAGTATTTATCTGAATCTTCCAGAAGTGCGCCATCTTTGAACCATCTGAGGTTCGGCATAGGTGTGGCGCGGATATCACAATAAAGCCTTGCCCTACTTCCTAATCTGGCAGAACCACTGATGATATTCCTGGGGTAGATTGGGGCTGTTCTTGGTGACAAACTGCGAGCTCTGATACCTCTAGATGAAGGTACTCTATGACCTATAACGTCTAGCTTAGCAGATGTCTCCACTCTACCAACATCGTTTTCGAGTATGATTTTGTAAACGCCACAAAAAAATTTCTAGTTGAAGTTGAATTGATTTTGCTACGTTCATTCGATTAGTGATTTTTTTATATTGGTACACTTGACTCGAACATATGTTACAGCTATTCAGCTCGTTTGTTTAGTTCGTTAGTAAGAGGCAAAGTTAAAAGTGTTTTGGGTGTTCGACGATTTTCTGCTATCGACGAAAATAGATCAAAGAATTTGCATAAAATTTTGTACAAAAAATGGAATGAAGTGGTGAAAAACACTTGATATGTTGACAGGAGTATACGTTGATTGTACTCTGAGTCACAAAAATGTTCACAAGATATACAATTTCTTCACAGAAAGTCGAGAAGATGTGAATGATGACGCTACCCCTGGACGCCCCAGCACATTAATAACCGATAAAAATGTTGAGGAAGTGAAGAAATTTGTTATGGCGAATCGTCAAATCACTATTAGAGAAGATACTGAGGAAGTCGGCAATTTTATCGGAAATTTTGGGCGTGATGCGTATGGCAACGAAGTTTGTTCCAAAATTGCTGAATTTTGACCAAAAAACCATCGCATGAGCATCGCTCAGAAATTTTCGAAAGACTGCAATGGCGATCCAGATTTGCTCGAAAGGATCATAAACTGGGTATATGTACATCACATCGAAACCAAAGTCCAATCGTCCCAATGGAAGAGCCCAGGAAAGCCAAGACAAAAATAGCACGCCAAGTTCAATCAAATGACAAGATTTTGCTCAATGTTTTTTTTTAGATCATTGTGGCGTAGTGCTTCAGAAGTGTTTGTCACATGGTCGTATAGTCAATGAGGTATATTATCTTGAAGTTATACGCCGCTTACCAGAAGCATTACGAACAATAGACAGGTATTGTGGAAAAATAATTTATGGCTTTTGCATCACGATAATGCACCTGCTCACTCATTGCATTGCAGTCTAAAACAACACCGGTATCATACTTCAGCCACCGTATTCACCAGATTTGTCTCCCTGCGACTTCCTTGTGTTCCTAAGATTGAAGATACCCATAGAAGGACGACGTTTAGCGACGATTAAGGGAATAAAAACCGAATCACTGAGAGAGCTCAAGGACATACCACACACGTGCGGACGAGCAGTATCGAACCTTTTCTGTTGACCAGTGCAGGATGCTGCTGACGCAATTTTTGGTACATTTCGTCGATTTCCTTACGGAAAAACTCTACTGTGATGGTTTGGCCAGATTCCAGAAAGTTGTATTTCATCACACCAGCCACTGGTGGCTTATCGGTGTCCAACCACTCTCCTGAACGTCTCTTTTTGTCGTAGAGGATCCACTTTTCATCAACCGTGATGGACCAAAATAACTGTCGTTTTGGTTGCGCAAAAGCAAAGAAGAATAAACCTCAAAACGTGAAAATTTATGCCAATCATTCAAATCATGGGGCACCCTCTTTAAAATATCAAAAACCGCATGGGAGCTGACGCACAGTTCTTCCAGCATTCCCGGCACCGTTTGTGATGGGTCAGTCTTCACAAGGGTGGTCAAATCTTCGTCCTGGAGGACTTGTAGGTCGACCACTTCAGGACAGGCAAATTTACAGAACATACACGATCATCAAACATGAGAACAAAAATTCTCAAATCTGTATTTTTTAGAAAAGCTTCATTTCACAAAAAAATAATTATCTATCATCAATTACTGAATGAAATCAAACAGTTTTCCAACAAAGTAGAATTGAAATTCGCATTGAAAAATAGTTTGTTGCATTAATTCACATCATCATATTTGTTTGCTTTCGTTATTATCTAGATCAAGTTTGAAATAGTTACATAATATCTATATATGAGTATTTCTTGTATAAATTCTCTATATATATGAATGGACTGCATATTTTTGATAGGCCAATGATGGGCCAATGATAGGCCAGTGGTATAAAAGTAGTTCCAAAATTAGCTTGTTCACTTCAACAAATATCAGGGTACGCTGAATACAGGATGCAACTGAAGAATTGGATATTTATGAATTGAACTATGAGAACTATGGTCAGACTAAACGAGATATTAAAACTCGATTCGAAGGACACACATTAAATATCGGATTCATGATTTTCTAAAGAACGGCCACAGAATGAAGAAATAGTGTTTGAAATTATTGATATCATTGTATTGCCCTAGCAAGACTTTTGGATGCTGTCAAAACACCAGAAATAGCAAAGGATGATAGGGGAACAGAAGCAAAACTGCAATTCCAAAAAGACAAGTGTTTGTTCACCCCAACGAGAACCTCTTTATTGAAATCAGCAAGATCTCACCTTTTGTTCTTATAAAATCATTCCAGGAGAATGAACTATGAAAATAACTACGAAAAAGTGATTATAGAGATTGCGAATTATTATTATTTGTACTCATCCGAACAGAAGAGGATTTAAAAAAGAATTCAAAACACATGCCCAAAATTTGATCGAGACCAGGAAATGTTTAAATATTTCAATGGAAGTTCCTGCTCAAGGGAAATAGTCTAATCAACAAGTTCAAAAACATGAAAAATAGAGATAAGTAGGATTGTGGAAAATTATTCTTACACATTAAAGATCAACAGATGGAATAGGTGAAAAAATATCAACAAGTTCAGTATTCCAATAGTGAGAATCAATAGCAAGTAATTTGTAGTTTGAAGGAAAGAACTCGGAATCCAATACTCCTCCTCTTAAGCAGGTTTCCGTAATCGCAGATATACTGCATTATGAGGCCAACATATTATTGTAAAAAAGATGTGTTTTTGAGTGAAATTAACTGCATTTTTCATAATACAGAGGTTTTTATGCTGTTCCTGTCGGATGTATCCCTGAGATTTTAGTGCGGATGACTGGAAATCCAGTGATGAAGATTACTTTTTCACCAGTGTTCAAACGATTGATGTATTCCTGTTGAACGAGTCGAAGAAATTCGCGCTCACAGCTAGGTAATTCCATCCTTGCATAATTTGATCTTTCTGAAACCAATTTATTTCAACGTGGGCCTTCATATTTGTCAAAAAAATACTGATATCATCTTTAAGAACACTTTGTCATTGAACCTGTCATGTCGAACGTTACTCTGAAACTCTCTGCATATCAATTGTATATTACGCTTGTTGTTACGGACCAGGATAACAAGGACTAACCAAAGAGAGTGAGAATGAAAACTGTTTCCCAATTTGTTTTACCACCGAAAAATTACCGTTGGAAAGTGATTTATTCCATCAACCAGACAAAAATATTCATGCGATGCATAAATCTTGGGCTGTTACATGGAATTGTTGCAGCGTCAGGACGCTTTACGTCGTCGCCAAATGATCCGACAGAATGCTGCAAAACGTAAAAATGCTGGAAAATCCATAGTGAATTCATCGCCTGCAAAATTTCGAGACCTTCGATATAGTCCGCATAAAGTATAGGCAACTTATACGAGAATTGCATAAAATTTACAAATTTCTGCACGAGAAAGTGAATTGTGTCTGGACTGAAAGAGATTTACTGTCTCAAAAAATTGATAGGCACAACGAACCTGAATGATATGAAATATCAGACGGTCTGCATAAATCGGGATATTGAAGTATTAGTATATAGAGCCTTCAAATTATAAGTCGTAAGGAAATTAGGTGGAAAAGCGGAGGCATTCTTTTTTTTAGGCATAACACAATCACTACAGAAAAGTTTTTAGGGCGTGTGAGGACATGCCTGAAAAAACCATTGTATGGCGAAACACGTGTTGCGTTTTTGTAAAACTGTGTAGTGAAAATCTCACAATAAAGTGCTTTTTGAATAGGTTAATTATGGATTTTCATCAAGTATCAGACAATTCCATCATGAATCCTCGTTGTTTTTGAATCGCTGGAGATTGAATTCATTTGAAAAATGTTCTCAGAAAGTTTATTTGACATAAACGCAGTTCTTCAAATGAAAGAGTTCTTAGGCAGTGAAGTTCAAGGTATACTGAGTTGAACCTCAAAAGCAGTGAAGGGAAAAGTCACCACGTCTTCTCTCTTCCAACACGTAATACAGACAGGACACAACATCAATTTCGATAACACAAAAATACTAGCAAGTAATGAAAACTTTTACTCGCGAACAATCAGAGAGGCTATTGAAATTGAAAAACGACCTAGTAATATGAACAAGAGAGATGATGCGCAAAGATTACCAACAACATGGAGATCAGTTTTATCGCTTCACAAAAGCAAACAGACCGTCCAACCCCAGAAGTAAAACTCAGCACATGATAATATAGGTAGAATAACAGAGGCAGGAGGGGTAGTTCAGGTAGGGCGAAAACAGGTAGTTGCAGGTAGTGGCAGCAAGGGAGGTAAATGGAAACATCCATACCTATAGATTGAGGCACAGAGTTGGGACTAATCAGTCTAGTTGAAAAACTCCAGACATCATCAGAGGAGGGAAAATGTGCCGAAACATTGTGAAAATAATCCTCATGGGGATAAAACACACAGAACACGGACAAAACCCGAGAAAACAGCTCATCTTTTTTTGTCCGTGAGAATTTTAGAGCTAACATATATATATGGGATAGCAGCGAAGCGCACCCAAACACCAAAACTCACACGAATTTTCAAAAATATTGATAATCAAAAATTGCACACAAACCTATTTTAACAATTAATTCCCTTTTTTCAAACTTAAAAGATAAAATCCCAAAAAAATTTCAATCTCAAGTGGTTTATAGTATCCCTTGTATAAGTTGCAGTGCTGAATACATTGGTCAGACTGCCAGATTATTAAAAGACAGAATTTCTGCACACAAAAGTGACTGTAGACTTCATCCAGAAAGGTGTGCCCTTAGTGAACATGTTTACAATAATGGACATGTAATGGACTTTAACTCAGTAAAAATTTTGACCAAAGAGAGGAATGTTTCTAAAAGATNCCGTATTGGTCAAAAGTGCAACTTTTGCGAATTTGGAAGGATCCAGTCGACCCGAACTACATTCTTATCGCCCATATCTATGAAAATGCAACCGAGATAACCGCCCTAGAACCGATGAAATTCGATAGTTTCCGAATCCTTGTCACAGATTCCGCACTTGAACCTGATATAAATCAACATTTTCCTCCTCAATCCTAGCATTCGACCTTCCGCGTTCTCTGTTGTCTGCGGAAAGATTTTGATTAATCGTTTCCACATCCGCACAAACGGTGATAACCTCGAAAAATTCAATACAGAAAAGTTTTCAATCTCGTTGAGTTACTTCCAGATCATTTGGTAAGCAAAGTGACATTGTGATGATTTTTAATCTTTCAAGAGTTGCCGGATATTCGAGCTGGAGTGGCATCAATTCTTGTTACTTTGGGTCAACGTCCTGTTCAGGATCGGTCCGCGGTGAAGTGTCCGTCGTAGGGGATGACACTAATGAAAACAAACAGATTCGAGTTTTGTTTCGTTTTATATCCTAAAGCTGTGTTTACGCCATGAGGACACAGTTCTCGAATTATATGTGAATATTTCATGAAATAAATGAGTCAATATTGTACATATCAAAGAATTACACTATGCGATGAAATAGCCGATTCATGCATCCACAACGTATTCAGGTAACACTACATTGTGAGATTTTCACTGAACAGTTTACACCATACAATAGCTTTTCCCTCAGGCGTATTTATACTATCTGAATTTTATCCAATTAGTGAATTATACAGGGCTATTCAAATTCCTTTCTGTAAATGGGGATCTCGTAAACGATAAGAGATAAAGTGTCGGTTAAATTGTGGCAAAGTTGGGTATTTTAGACACCATTTCAATAATGTGAAAAAATCGAATAGAACTCTTTTGGTTCTGGAGGTATACAAGTAAAAACAAAAAAACCCAAATTATTTTTTTCCTGTATTTTCTTTATTTGCAGACATATTGAAAATCTGTCCACATTTTGCTATAGGTACTTGATGTGAGCTATCAGAACATGTCATCTGACTTGGGCCACCCCTATCTTTGAATTTTTAAATACAAACCTGTATTTTTTGTTGTAGTTTTTGGATCGTCGACGTTCATTTTATACTGAGAAATTGAATTTTATTTTATATTTCGGGATGTTTCGGTGATATTTTATTATAATTGGGTTTATTATTACATAAAAACCCATATAATATATTTTTGTGTTATAGATAAGATTTCAGACTTGTTGATTTCTAAGCCTTCCTAAAGATTGAGTTTCAAATCTTTTTCTTCCAAATAATAACACTCAGTCGCGGTTGAACCCTTCTGCCGAAAGATTGTTTGTAAATGAGGAAGAAAACTCTCTCGAAAAAGCTATTTTCAAATCAACATTGAATAACACAAAAAAAAGGTTTCGAAACAAATACTGTTATATTAACGCTGAATTATACAAAAACATTCTTTCTATTCTGTTTGTATCCCAAAAATTCGTAATGGAATTGAATCGGATCATTCACAAGATTTCTACACAATATAATTAATGAAAAAAGCAAGTTTCACTTACATGGGGCACTGACATCCTCACTGGTAGGCATCTTGATATTTCGCCGTAAGACACTTGCCTCGTTGGATCTTCAGAACCAAATACTGATAACATTGTGAGAAAAAACACTCAGTTCCTTCAAGAAAATACGACTATCTGTCAGAGGTATCTATGGTATGAGTATAAGTAAGGAAAGGATAATATTGTATATGAATTCAGTTCAATTCTCCTCTTGAAGATGATCACTTGGTGATCGAAACACGTGTCGAGATGTTGAAATAATGGTTTGGTGTTGGGAAAAAACTCCAGTAATATTCATTACCACACCAAAGGTTCCAAAGAGTGCATCACAAGTCTTAGCTTGACCAGCTTCATTGTTTTCAAATTATTTGCACCTCAGAGGTCGAAACATTCGCAAATAGCATTTGTGATTCCTTCAATTTTCATTTTGACTGTAGTGATTTTCGATGAGTTTGTTTGCTCATTTAGCGTTACCCAGGATGCACGTGTAGCATTCTACTACGAATGCGAAGTAGCTTTATACCCTTCCACACTAAGATCTTCAGCTCTGGGATTGATATGTTCTGAATACTGCTGAATACTGCGCCCCGGTGACTCCAACAACTCCTTTTCACACACGGTCTACCGAAAACCTACCCATACTAACCGCTGCCTCAATGCCAAGTCCCATCATCATCCTGCCCAGCTGAATTCCGTTCTGAATTCCCTCATTCATCATTCTATAAGACTCACTGACAACCACAATAGATCCAGGGAACTATACGAACTCACAGCTGCCCTTCACCAAAACAACTATCCCGTCTCCCAAATACAAAGATCTATCCAACGACAGCAAACACAAACCCCACCCCACGAGTTACCCGAGGAAGAGACCAACCAGACAAAAGCTTTCCTCTCCTACATCCATGGTGTCACTGACAAAGTGAGCCGAATTCTGAAGAAACATAACGTAACGACAGTATTCACAGCCAACAACCCAATCTCTACTATGTTAAGAACACCCAAAGACACGATACCCAATGAAGCACAGGGCATATACCATGTTCAAACTGCCTTAGAACTTACATCGGCCAGGCCAATAGAAGCATTTCCAACAGAGCCTATGAACATGAACTAGCTGTTTGCAAATCAGATCCAGCATCATCTCTCTTCAAACACCACCAGGAAATAGGCCACATGATAATAATAAAGAAGCACTCAAATCATTCATAATATTACGACTTTGTCATGAATGAGATGAATCTATTTATGTTACGATGACAGTACGTGATGACATTCAAACCTTTATTTGATTCATTACCGGCCATGGGTTTAGCACAGATTAGTTTTTAGAAGAAAAAATGTTTGGCATTCTATTCCTACATCTTTAATGCTGGTAAACATAACTGTAACTACGAGTCTTCAAGATGAGGCCATTAGGAGCAATTGCCTGGCTTTAGATAAAACGGCACAGGCGAAAGTATCTGGCTTACAGAGACAGGCTTGTCTGACTATCTGTGGTGTCACACCGTAAGCGGCCATTGGGAACTTTCTAGATCTACCTCCTCTCCACATTTTTCTGGAGAGAGAGGCTAGATGGACCCTATATAGATTTGTGCACATTACCATTGCACAAATCAATCTGATGCAGAGAATAGTAGTCTTCTGGTGGACACTGGAAGTCACAGCATTCTGGGATTGACCTCTGACATTATGCCTCCAACTGTCAACTACGAACTGCCTTGTACAGTACTGTACCCGAGTAGAGAGGACTGGATTTTCTGGGAGAAGAAAATATAAGGAGCAAATAGTTGTTGGTTCACTGATGAATCAAAAACAACTTCAGGTTCTGGTGCAGGTGTTTTCAGTCGTAGACCCAGGACAGAGGCGTTGAAAGCTCTTGGCTCCTACCGGGCAACGTGTAAATTGGTAGCAAATTGCCAAAAATGACTTTCCTCAATAGGAAGACTTAACAAATTGCCTCTGGCCTAGATTCCAGGCTATAATGGCCTGGAAGGCAATGAGGCTGGTGACTCCATTGCAAAGGAGGATGCTGCAAGCAGCTTCATCGGACCAGAACCTGTCATTGACATCGCTTTAGGTTTTGCCAAATAAATATTGAACACCTTGGTGGCAAGAAGATTTATGAACTTCTGCCAAAATCAAATCATCTAAAAGAACAATTCGTTCAGGCCAAAAACTTCCAAAGGAATGAAGAAAGAAATCGCTTTTGAAAGTTGCCCCCTAATTTTTCAATGCCGCTTCGAATGGCATTGATTGTTAAGGTTACTGAGCATATCTTGGTGATTCTGTTCACCTCTTAACCCCTTCAAATAGTGGTACCTGATGATGGTTCCATGCACCAAATTTTTGAATTGTCACTATTTCGACCGACATCCTTCGATCAATGTGTATTGTGCACTTCTGGTTTGACTTTTCAACGTGAAACTTTACACTGATATTTCAAAGTTTTTATTCGTTGCTGTATTATTCATCAGTAGAATCGATCTAGGCTAACTAGATATCAATACATAGTCGTAAGTTTTCAATAGGTCAAAAAAGAATACTCACGATCGACAATGAGACAGGCGGATGTGACAGCTTTTCCTAGTTCATTATACGCCACGCAAGTATATTCTCCTTCGTCTTCAGGGTAGACTTGACTTATGGACAATCTGGCAGTTTCGCCATCGAAGTCGGCATTGAAATCACCTCCTAAGTGGATCAGCTGCAAATAAGAGAATACATCAAGTATATGTATGTAACAAGTAACCTGTTCGTTCTACTACTATTTTCATGTTTGAATTACACCTGCGCGGCGATGAAGAAAGTCGAATGGATCGCTGATTGATTGATAACAATCGACGGCCCCTATCGAAGACAATCAATAAAACGAGACCGATCTTTCGACGGCGAATTTTCAATGACTCATTAGTGGAACAAAGCGTAGTTGTTGTTTCATGTCATCAAGCAAAAATGAATTAAATGAGTGACGAAGCACAGTGGGATTCATTTGCTTATCAACTATAAATACTTGATTTTCATCTCATTTCAAAGAGTATTCCATTTCTTCGAATTGATTATAGAAGGTGTCCCAGAATTCAGGTAACAAGCGATACCTATCTCTGTTATTTGTAATGAAACAAACGCGGTCTTAAAAGACCTCAGAATGACGTTTGTACGGAAGCGCAGAAGAGCCACATACTTTTATTATTTCGAAATTTCGACTTTGATCTCGAAATTTCGAGTTTGAAGTCGTCATTTCGAAATTACGAGATTAAAGTCGAAATTTCGAGATTAAAGTCGAAATTTCGAGATAAATGTCGAAATTTTGAGATTAAAAAGTCGAAATTTCGAGATAAAAGTCGATATTTCGAGATACGAAGTCATAATTTCCAAAAAACAGGTAATAAAAATATGTGGCCCTTCTGCGGTTCCGTAAGTTTCTGAGGAACTACTCCCAACTTTAGGTACCTCACTTGAGTATTCCTGTCATTGTAGATACAAAGATGCGATATCTTTCAGCGACAGATTCTGTCGTACAAATCTTCCAATTCTTCTGAAGGTACTTGGTATACATTTTTATTTGTTAATTCCCTAGAAAAAATTCGGTGGACCCATATCAGAGAAACGGACTGGCCAACGCATTGGATCTCTGTTTCCTATACATCTCTGAGATTATGCATCATTGAGAAGTTGGGTAACCATGTGCGAATTATGGGGAGGCACTCTGTTGGTCCCATATCATAATTGGTCGTTCTGATAGACGGATATGTTATGATAGTTCGAACAAAGTATTCAGCAGGAAATGTAAATGTCGTAGTTAAAATCCCTGTTTGAAGATATGCGGCAATGAGATATCCATTTTTGAAGTCCACACCAAAAGTCAACACTCATTTTATTTGAAGTTTCTTCTATCTGAAGTGGTCGTTGAGTGTGTTGACAACATGATTTTTATGAAATCTGCTTTCATTATTTCAACATCTGTAGCATATCTCGATTATCATTTGAGGCGCGCGATAATTATTTACCTAAGTTCGGAAGCTTTGAGCAGTACTACAAATGAACCATACATGTGCATTTATCTCAGCATACGCCGAAACATTCACTTCATGTTTTACTTATGGCTGGTGCTGATACAGAGTGTAATTTTTGTTCCGCTTTTAGAAAAGTGACGTGCAATGGCAGATGACGATGAGGAAAACGTTCACTATATATTGGAGCTGCTTTGCGATAATTCCTTCAAGATTGTCTGTGATATATTTTTAGCCAGAACATATGTGTCATCTGTACTAGCTTAGATGAACTGGCATTGGATTCATTATGGATGTCTGACTTTTTTGTAATTCCGAATGCTTTCTGTTGCCGACGAGGTTATTATTAATTCGAGTGGAAACTTTTTTATGAAAATTCTGATAGAGGTTCATTATGACAATATCAACAGTGACAGGGAGACTCAGGGATGTGAATTTTTTGAAATTGTCATTTTGATAACTGAAGTTGAAAATAATTTTTTGAAAGATAATTAGCTTAATGACGATGATGTTTTTTCTCAGGAGGGTATTTTAACATCCCTCAAAGCTGTCGGAAATATCGCGTATCAACTAAATTCTAGGACACGCTGTATAAAAAATAACATGTGAAAATATTCACACTGACATGGAGGATAAAACACCGTGGAAATTTTCCGTGGGTGTCATATGGAAGAACAAAGTTGCGATGGTTGCCATGATTTCATAGATGATCTCAGAAAGGTATTCCGATGTCTTTCAGTACTGTCTTAGTTTCATTGTCTAAGTGGACCATAGAAATGTTCCTTATTTTCGATAAGAAAAACACACAATGGAAATAAAATAGCAAATTATGTTTTGATTCATCATACCACATAAAGTGGCCCGTTTATTCACTGGGAGATAATTCACAGGAAGGAATAGCAGTTTGAAAGAGTTTGGGTAAAATGCAATGTTTGAAAAAAAAACATGGAAACTTCTAATAAAGTAAGAAAGCGATCTGCATTGCACTGAAACATGAACCAAAAAAGACAGCGGGGAGTGGAGAAGTTATAGCGCTGAAGTCACACAAATTTTTTTTTCTTCACGTATTAGCGTACTTACTTCCATATTTTCTTTTTCATTTTTCAAATTTGTTCTCATTGTTGATATTAATTTTGTTCCAAGTCATCCGAATATTTCGGTCAGATTATTTTAAGATTTTTGATAATTTGAATAATCATTTCACTTCAATTCAATTTCTTTTTTCATAATAATGATATTTATTCACCATTTGTGATACATAGCGTATATATGGTAGGTTAATGATTAATTAGGTAAAACAAAGAACAGTACGCATGAATGAAATAATGAAATCAAAGCTTAAATAAAAATTAATATTTGCATATACAAAGGTATAGGTACATAAATATAGACACATAAAATACTGCTGATCACCCAAATATACACACATATATACTCACATATAAACTAAAGCAAAACAGCAAGTGAAAAATTAGAACGATTATATATCTTATTATTCTTCTGTGAAAGAATCCTCTAAATATTCCTTATGACTGTAGTAACATTTGTCCAGTAATAAGTTTTTAACTTTCATACTGAACAAATTTGCAGAATTTAACCTCTTTATAGAACGTGGCAGTCTGTTATAAAAATTTATACATTATATAATGGAGATTTTTTTTATGTAACCATCGTATGCGAAGGGACCCTCAGAGCAGTAGCATGGCAGGTATCACGACCGTGAATGCTCAAATTCGTTATGTACAAGTCAAGGTTCCTGGGCACAAAAATGACACATTTCATTATATATATTGCAGGTGTAGTCAACAAGCGTTCTCTTTTGAAAACGGGTCTACAATTTTCTTGGTACCCCAGGTTGAATATCAATCTTATCAGTCGTTTCTGAGAGATGAAAACTCTAGAAAATTTCTTCGCACATCCCCAAGTCATTATGATGAAACTGATGTGGGAGTATGCATTCGCGAAGTAAACATTTACTAAACCAAACCTACCTAAACAATGTTTTAACTGTTTGATCGAGTAATAAGCTGAAATGAGTTTACTGCACACTTTTTGTATGTGACTTCTCCAGGTGAGATTCTCATCTAAAATAGTTCCAAGAAAATTAACTTCTTTTCATATATTTATGTCATTTAAAGTGACTAAATTACAACAGAAATCCCTCCTAACAAATGTTTTCATTAACACTGACTTAGATTTATTCAAAATCAGTTTGTTACGTTGACACCAACTACTGAATTCGTCAATAACTAAATTAATTTTCATTGATAATTCATTCGCGTTTTTTCCAGAAACCGTGATTGTAGTATCGTCAGCGTATATTGTTATGTGACAATCTGATATTAATTCAGGCAAGTCATTGATAAAAGTCAAGAATAACAATGGACCCAGAACAGATCCTTTTGGAACACCATTATATTTAACCACCAAACTACGGTTTTCCATGTACGATTCTATCCAACACAACACATTATTGGGAAAGCCCATTACTAGTAATTTTTTCAATAGAAATTTGGAAGAAACAGTATCGAATGCTTTTGAAGGGTCTCAAAAAAGTGAAAAAACCAGATTATTATTATCAACTTGTGCATAAATATAGTTCGATAGTTGGTAAGATGCAGATTCAATTGATTTCAAATCTGTTTATAACTCTTCAGATAAAGGGCGTATGAAGTTGTAACTTTCACCCAGAAACATTGTCAATCACATTCAAACAAACATTCCCTATAAGAACATAGGCTTTCACAGCGGGAATCACGATTAGAGAGAACAAAATTCGGGTTAGTAGGCCGTGATCGAATGAAACCTGAAGTACCGAACGTTTCATCTGCTACCGTGGCAGACATCATCAGTGGTTGACTGCGAAAACGAAAGTTATATTTCGAATAAATTGATGGATGTAGCCGTTACTATGTGGTAGGAGATCATTATGAAAAGAGAAATGAAAATTTCTATGTTTTTTACCAACAATAAACTAACTAAAGAGTTTATTGTTTAAGTTTGAAAATGTCCATATAGGACGAAACTGCAGTAACGTTAGTTACAAATAAAAGTGGTAAAAAACATAGAAATTTACATTTCTCTTTTCATTATATTTCGAACTCTCAGCGATCGTTCGTTGCTGATATCACTGCAGATATCCCTGCTTGCCTCTTCTCTCGATGCCACAGAAAATAAAATGGTCAAATGATAACAAACAAGCAAAGCATGATGGGTGAGAGGTATTGTGTGGATCCTATGGTTACTAGATTATCGCTCCTTGATTTTTTGTGGAGATATCTAAAATATAAACAGAACATATCCAGCGTTTCAGAAGATTTGGATCCAGGAACTGTCGACAAGTATATGTCGTCGAATCTTTTTATAAATGTATCTGAATTTGCGGGAACGCAAGATTCTGAAGAAATATTCAAATAAGCAAGCAGTTTTCGGATAGTTGAGTAAATTGAATTTTCAAACCGAATTTGAAATTTGAATGATACTATAAAAATAATTTTGATGGCTCAAATGCCATTCGAATATATTGAAGTCTATCCTCGCTTAGGGGTGTGACGAGAGGAGTCACAAATACCGAAGAAGAGTATACCTATTCGGGTTGCGGTAGAGAGTCGAAAAAGATTTACTCACTTTTGACCTTACCCAACCTAACCTATTCAATCAAAAGTCGACAGGCGAATGACTGCTGAGATTCTAAAATTTACAGCTCAGTTGAAGATAACAAAAATTTGCGCTGGTAGGCCATGGTCGAATAGAACCTGAAGTACCAAACTTTTCGTCTGCTTCTGGGGCGAATATCATCAGTGCGTTGACTGGGAGTCAGAGAGTATCTATAATTTCAGAGGGTGGTAGAGGTGATAATGGGCAGGGAGGAGATGGCGAGGTGTCCATGCAAATGCTCACTCTTAATTGGTGCAAACTTTTGCTGGATCGTTCTGATTGCTCCACACTGTTTCTGATTGATCCACGTTGTTGATAGGTGTGCTACTGGTGGGATGTCGATCATATATGTAGTCTATTCCATTTTTTGTCTTCTTGAGTTAGGTAAGCTATATATTAGGCTGTAGACGATCCCTCCCGATATAGAAGGCCCCGACACTCTGTCGAATGAGGCCCTCATGTCCCCCGTTAACAGATGAATATATTTTTCATCCCCACACCCCAGCCAGGTAGGGGTACCCCGTGAAGGGCGGTACTGATGTCCGCCAACATCCCCTCAGTCATGAACCCATTTGTCCTTCTTCGACAAAAATCAGCTAGAAGGGTAAAGAAGCTGGGCTCCAACCTGAATGAACTGAAGACGCTTGGTCGGTTGTCTTCTTGAGTACCGGACACTACCTTCAAGTACGCAAACAAATAATGAAGTACAGAAATGGACTAGAATACACCTCCAATCGATTTCTCGCCAGTAGCATACCTGTCAATATCGTGGACCAATCAGAACAACCTAATGACACTGCGAACCAATCAGGAGGAAACATTTGTATAGATACCACACCGTCGCCCTACTCCCCTCTGAAATTAAAGATGAAAATGAAAATGTAGCTCGTCAGTCAGTCTTTGCTGGCGTATCGAAATATAATTTTCGTCCGTGCAGTCAACGCACATACCACTGATGATATTTGCTGCAGTAGTAGACGAAACGTGTATTACTTCAGGTTTCCTTCGACCACCTTCTACCAGCTAGGATTCTCTTCAACTCAACCTATAAATTATTCATTCGAGTGGAAATTTTTGATGAACATTCCGAAACAATATCGAAACAATATCAATTCGATTTTTGATTGATGCAAAGGAGATAAGGACCAGAATTTAAACAATGGAATACCAATAGGTATGTTTGTAAAAAAATGTACGCAATCAATAATAAGTCTATAAATGATTCAAGGTAGACTTAGATGATTATTTTTTCTCGTTAATGTGTGAGAAATCGAATTTTCCACTCAGATTCAAAAATCTATACTCTACAATAGACTGTAGACATAGACTTTTATCACTTTCCATCGGCACAAATTTCATCAGAACATTACAATGTGTTGGTATGATTCAAACAATAATGTTTTTTCTCCAAAGGAATTCATGAAGATTTATCTAGGCTAATTTATTATTCAGATTCAAAACAACTTCAAATGAATTTTGCAAAGCAATCTACTTGATACTCCGCAGTTGCTCAATATTTTTTTTCATTTCTATTACCGTTTGATGTATAACATGCTAATAATTGGTAATAATAAGCTTATTATTACTATTATTTTATTATTACTCTACTTGTCTTGATCGTACTAGCGATTCTCTCGACCGCACTCCAAATATTCGTCATTTATAAGCAAACTTTTGATAATCTTGTTTACATTATTTTAATTTTCGTGAGGATCTCTTACTTCATTGAATATAAAATGCAACCTATGTTTCTCGCTTATAATATTGTTCTCTACTCACTGATGACTTTTTAAATCGGATAACAAATTTTCTGTCTATAATATAATTTGGATTAGATAAGTAAACCAAATTCACTAATTGACTAATTTCAATACCGATCGGTATGTTCTTGAAACATTTAGTATTTTTTAGTGCCTTGTTCAACCAGACATCACTATCAACTAATCGCTTGTACACGAAATCAGGTAACAGGTTAGATTTCGTTCCAGTAAAAATTTCACTATCAGACTTTTTATTCTTGACAGATTTGTAATGAAAGACAAATTTCTTTTTGTTCCACAAAATTTCACCAAAATAATAAATCTTCAATGAATTAATGTAACGTGCAATGAAGGTAATGCATTGATGTTTACTGTGATCAAAAAAGTGCAGTTTGCCGTCTACAGACATTATATAGTTAGTACAGATTACTTTAAATAGTTAGTACAGTTTACCTTAAAATTCTTTTAACAGGAAAAACGAACTGTAACACACTATTCAACACACAAATATTTCACTTTGAAACATAGTGTTAATAAAATATTAACTGACACGACATCTCACACGTTTTGAGATGATATAAGTATCCAGTTCCTCTAATGAATGGAGAATTTTCTTATCTCTGCTCTGTCATAAATGTATTAATTTATCAGTACTGACAGTTGTGTGCGATATACTTCCAATGAGTTTATGGAAACCAACAATTACTGGGCAAGAAAATATTGGCCAATTCTATCAATGTTATTTTTTCGCATCACACTGTATCTCTGATTTCTATATGGTTCTATTGGTCCTATGTCATACTGCAATCTCCGTCATAAATATATTTATTTGATATTTATGTGACGTTCATCATCACAAGAATGTATGTCTCGCGATTATCAGAAAACAATAAAAACTATTTTCAGATACATCTAACGTTGTGTTTCTCACGGATACATATTGCCTCCAAAAGTATTCCTATTCTACATCAACAACCTATTGAAAAATACCAAAAATTCGATATTTTGCTTTGCTGACGACAGAAAACTTGTCATTTGTCACTTTTCTTCATCAGATGCTCGAACTCCAGTTGTATATTTTTTTAAGGACAAAACACAAGCACTACAGGAAAATCCTTAAAACACTCTGAGTGGTGCCTGTGCGAAAGTAGCGATTTACGTTGGATTTGAATCGCTGGAGAATAAATTCATTTGGAAAAACGTTCTCTGGAAGTTTACTCCACATAAAGGCAGTTATCCAAATAGAAGAGTTCATTGACAGTGAAGTTCGAGGTGTACTGAGTTGAACCTCAAAGCGATGAGCAGCAACAGTCCGTCGCGTATTTCTGATATGTACCGCTCTTGGTGGAATCAAATGTGCCAAGTCACTTGAACATCTCATATGACAGAAGCTATGAAAGAGAGACAAATCTATAACCTTTCTTCTATGCTCCAGACTGTCAAGGCTACAAGTAATGTTTGTAATCTAGCAGCTTCAGGGGAGGGTTTCCGTACATGTGAACAATACTCAATAGAAAGTCTGATCTGAGCTTTATAAAGAATCAAATTTGCTGAGGTGTGTAGAGTTTTCAAGTTCGGATCAGTGTTCCAAGCTTTTGAAAAGCAGCCTTTGCAATTCTAGCGACATGATTGTTTTAAGATATCTTGGTGTACATCTTCGTAGGCAAGTAGGCAAGAAATGTTTTATATCATTCGAGATCTGAAGAAATTTTTGACCTAGAGAGGTGAAACATCTCGAAAATTGGGTGACCCACGGATCGTCACGTGTAATGGAAAGTGGATCCTCTACAAAAGGAGATGTTCAGGACAGTAATTGGACACCGATGAGCCACCTAGGCACTTCCCAAAAGTGAAAATCTTACAAAAAAAAACCATGGTTACTGTATAGTGGTCAGTGGCTTGTGTGATTCACTATACATTGTGGGGAAACCGACGGAATGTATCAAAAATTGCTTCAGCAGCGGCATGCACTGGTTAATAGAAGCGGTCCAATCCTGCTCCAAGACAACGCCCGACCCCCCGTCTTTCTAAAATCAGATGAATTGAGCGTCGAAGTTCTGCCACACCCACCATACTCTCCAGATCTTTCGCCAACCGACCAAGCAGTTCCATAACTTTTTCACCAATAGAACCCTCGCAAATCAGGATCAGGCAAAAATGGCCTTCGTCGACTCCATCAAATTCCGAGTACACAATTTTAATGCTGACGAAATTAATCGACTCAGGCTACGTTGGTGAAAGTGCACTGAATCAAATGGCACTTATTTCGATTGAATTGAATACGTATTCACTGAGATATTACAGTTTGAAGTAGATTCATAAAAATGGACAAAACATTTGAAACAACCTTATACTATAAGTATTCAAACTGCTTCTTAAGTTGATTAGCAATGTGAATAAAAACGACTGTGATCGAAATATTCCGATGGTATTTCAATTAGTTCGCAATATTTCGCTGAAATTGTCTTAATCAAAGATATTTAACGTTACTTACCTTTCCTGACCTTTCCCAGCGGATATCGGGAGGAGGTGTAGCACTGAACTGGCATTCAAAGGTCGCCGAATCTCCATCACAACAACGGATATCACTGAGATCCTTTAAAATTGTTGGAACTGTTTGTATTTCTCTGAAATTGTAATGGCATCTTGTTAAAAACGTTTTGAGTCGCATTTTATATCAAAGCGAGAATAAAGTTTGTTCTACAAATCGATTTTATTATTACTGTAAAGTATATTCAATGCTTCAGGTTCAGCCTTCTTCGGCCGAGGACTACAGGAGTATGTCCAAACTATTGGTAAAGGAAACAATTCAACACCACACGTATACATTACCTGAAGACAAGCAAATCAGAGCCCTTGGTTGAAAAAGGTTTTCAACCATCATCCGTCACCAGGATGATGCGAGAAAATCGACCGCTTCCCCTGGTTTTGGTTGAAGTGAACCAAAATTAGAAGCATATTTATGCCATCCGGGATCTCCTTAATGTTAAAGTTAAGGTTGAGCCCCAACACCAAAAAACATTGGTAGGGCAGTGTCACCGATGTCAGCGGTTCGGGCATAGCCAACGGAACTGCCTAGCTTTTCCCATTTGCGTCAAATGCGCCGGCAGATACCTTTCAGGTGAGTGCAAGAAGCCACGAGCAGATCCGCCCAAGTGCAATAATTGCAAGGCTGTGCATAATGCAAACTACCGCGGTTGTCCTGAGTTCCCCAGGGTTCACAGGAGGATCAAAGTAGCTTCAAATGCTCTCCGAAGTGCACCCACACCTGGAAAGCATCCTGCCGGAGCATCTGGCACACGCCCGGGAATGAGCTACGCAGGAGCGGCCAAGAGCGGTAACACCTACGCCAGGCCGACCGAGGCGCCCAGTAGTCCCCACCCGTCGAAGGTTAGTGACATCTGTTCCGGTCTGGACTAGATGAAGAAACTCTTCATTCAGTTCCCCGTACTCGAAAAGATGTTCACGGTGAACACCAACGTGCTAACTGATATCTGTTAATGGCTAGACAACCAACAATGCCTAATTCTCTCAAGGTTGTATTTTGGAATGCCAACAGTATTTGAAACAAGAAATTAGATTTTGAGAATTTTCTAATACAACAAAACATCGATGTTGCACTAGTGCAGGACACACACCTGCACAATGAACCTTTTGGTATTCCAAACTACCGTTTTTACCAAAGAGAACGCGTTGGACGTGCTGGAGAAGGAGTTGGCATTTTTGTCAAACGTAATCTTCCTCACGTACAATTCGTCATTGACTCGGATCAGTTACATGGCACGGAAGCCGTGGGCGTTGAGCTCCAACTGAGAAGAGGTCGTCATAGACTAATCTCAGTTTACAACCCTCCGCGGAATCGTCTACTCCCAGAATCACTGGATGAACTGCTGATGTCGACAAATACCCCCACAATTGCTGCTGGTGACTTCAACGCCAAGCACAATCTGCGGAGCAGACTCACCAATGCGAACGGCCGACCGCTCCATGCGCATGCTGACAGGTATATGAGTATCGAGTGATGGGTCCAGATTAGCCCACGTTCTACCGTGGGGATTTAAGGCCTGACGTGCTTGATATCGCACTGCTCAGGAACGTCTCCATGTCCTGCGAAGTGTACACTTTGTCGGAACTTGACTCAGATCATAATCCAGTCATCCTGATGCTGGGTGATGATCTCCCTCCCCAGGATTATCGCATTAGGTCATTCACGAAATGGGAAGCCTTCAAGGCTCACCTAGTGGAGACACGTACAGACCGTGAGGCGCTTCAAACTCGCAACGGTTTCGACGCGGCAGTGGCACATTTCGAATTGTCTGTGAACAACGCTTTCCGCGCAGCCACAACCAGGATAGAGTGTCCTCTGCGGAGCTACAATGAATTTCCTCCCAGGATAAAGAACTTTATCCGGGAGAGGAATCGACTCAGACGAGTTTATCAGCGGACTCTCTACCCTGGAGACAAGGCTGCGGCTAGCAGGATTGCCAACCAGGTGTAACAGGCCATCACTGACTATAGAAACGAGAGTTGGAGCGAGTGTTTGGAATCGCTCGAACCTGGGGATGGCGAGCTCTGGCGAGTCATCCGCAGGCTCGAGAAGAGGAAAACCGCTCCCTTCCCTCTTCACGGACAGCGCCGCATCTGCTACTTCCCCGCCGAGAAGGCGTTGGCCTTTGCAGACACAATGGAGAGTCAGTTTCGACTTAACGTTGATCCGGATGATGACATTGACCGTGATATCCGGCTGGAACACCGGGTTCGGCTCATCCTCAGGGAAAATGATGACGACGTGATCCGTCCAGCTCAAGAGGAAGAACTGAAGGGGTACATTAGGGCCTCCAAACCCAAGAAGACTCCGGGAATTGATTCAATCAACAACAGGTTGTTAAAGCAGCTCCCGGAGAACTTCATCAGATAACTGCTGGACATTATCAACAGCTCAATCACTCTCAGATACTTTTCTCGAAGATGGAAGCATGCCGTAGTTGTCATGATTCCGATTAGGCTGCTTTACTCAACGGCTAAGTTAGCTGAACGTGTTGTGCTGCAAAGGCTAACAGAAGAAGTTGAAGACCGAAATGTTCTGCCCATCGAATAATTTGGCTTCAGGAGGGCACACTCCACCGAGCTGCAAGCCCTGAGACTGATCGAAAATTCCTTCTCAGAGCTGAACAACAGGAAGACAGTCCATCTCGTCCTCCTGGATATTTCGAAAGCCTTCGACCGAGTCTGGCACAAAGGCCTGCTACAGAAAATGCTCGATTTCGATCTGCCTCGGGGTCTGGTCTGGCGGAATAGGTCATTTCTGAGCTTTTACGTGAGCGACCTTCCGAGGTTCGATCACGTGAAGGTTTTCCTTTACGCCGATGATACGGCTCTCCTCGCTTCTTCCATGGGTCGGGCGTTAGCGGTCGTCTACATGCAACGCGCATTGGACGACCTCGAACGCTGGTACCTTGACTGGAAGATTCGAGAAAATCCAGAAAAAAGTCAGGCGATAGACTTGGGGAGACATAAAGTTTTTCCAGACACAAAGGTCACGATTTCAGGCAGGAAGATCGAATGGCAAACGCGAGTCAAGTACGTAGGTCTTTGGGTAGACCGCCGACTCACCTGGGCAAATCACATTGATTATATCAAGAGCAAAGTGCAGATGAGGATAGCTAAACTCTATCCTCTGGTCAATAGAAATTCAAAACTCAATCTTAAAAATAAGATTTTAGTATATGTGCTTCCTAGTTTAATCTTCCTCTTGAAGATGATCACTTGTGATCGAAACACGTGTCGAGGTGTTAAAAATAGCGATTTGGTGTTGGTAAAAAAAAAACTCCAGTAATATTCGAAAAATAACTCCATACAAAGATGTGTAGATCATGCAAAGAAGTAACTTTCACAAAAACTGGAAGGACAAATCCTCTCGAAACACCTATTTTCATATGAATATTGAGTTACCCGAATGGAAAATACTTCCGGAACAAATACTTTTATATATACGCTGAATTATAAGAGAAACACTTTTCTCTATTCAGTTCGTATTTCGAACATTCCTAATGGGATCGAATCAGATCTCATTCACAGGATTCCTACACAATATAATAAATGAAAGAAGTGAAATTTCACATGCAACACTGTCATCGTACTGGTAGACATCCGATGTTTCGCCGTAAGATACTTGCCATATCGGCTAGTCAGTACCGAATACGGATAACATTATCAGAAAAAACACTCAATTCGTTTAAAAAATTACGACTTTTTGTCACGGCATGAGTTGAATCCACCCATGTCATCGATGACAGTACGTAAATAACATTCGATTGCTTTTTTGTACAATTGTACAAGTCCGCCCTTTTCAACTTCTGAATGGGACGATAAATTAAGATCGGACAAAATTAACGTAAAATAGTATTATTTTATCACAGTGGTTTATTTTAGAAGATCGAATTGATCATAGTACAATCACTGTATGCCACTGTCAACATTTCAAATGTTTTTTGAGCACCTAATTCTATTTTTTACACAAAATTTGATGCAGATTCTCTAATCTATTTTTTTTAGATAGCAGTACGTTTTATATCGGTACGAGTGTACCAACATACGAGTGTAGAAAACATAAAATAAAGTTTTTCTACGCATAGGTAATGCTAAAATGATAATTCTCAGATAATATTGAAGGAGTATTATCATAAAAAACACACAAAAAAGTAAACGAACTATCTCACATAGATCTTACTATCTATCGATAAATCTAATGATACACGTGCGGAAAGTCGATAACAAGAGTTCTTTCAACTGTGGTGGTATTTTATTCATACTTTTGGCAATGTGATAAGATAATGATATTCTGTAAAATTATGTGTGAATCATTAGAAGAGTAAGTTAACTTTTTTGTGGAATGGTCATATTATGTACATCATAGCGATATGATGTACATAATATTGTACAAGTAGAGAGGGTTCTGGTATTTTAAAGTTCTGTAAAAGCAGCAAGCAGAATGAGGGAACCTTCAATCGCTCATATTCAGCAACTATTTTAGAGCTTTTGAATTCATTTGATGTCAATGGAGTTTATACAAAGAGCATAGGGAACATCGCAGTAATTTATCCTGGAAAACACTAAAGAGTGACGTTTTGATTTTTTCAATCAAAAACAAAATGATTATTCACCACGGAAATTTGATATTCAGGAAAAATTTCTACCATTTTTTTTGTTGAAGAAACTTGTACACCAGAAATGTTGCTGTCATTAGCTTTCCGTCTGATGTTTTCTCATTTAATGAACTAATTCGTAGGTATTACGATAAGTAACATAACATGAAATCTCATTACTTCAGTGGTGTAGGTAGTATCTTTTATTATTATTAAGTATTTTTACGATATCAAAAACAAGCAGCTTGAACAAAATGGAAAACAAAATGACGGAAATATGGAAAGCGTAAGTTATGTAAATAGTGATTTACTTACCCTATTTTCTTCTTTCCCATAGCTTCGTTTGAAGTATTTGGATCTGCACAGAATTAAATAATATAAGTGGTGGACTTTTATCATTTCAACATGTGAAAATATGATACATGATGCGAATCAATTGCAGGATTGAATCAACAAACTTTAGTGATTAAATATCTCAATGCAAAAAAACTTGAAGAATTTTGAGAACATAATCCACATCGCTATGGAACACCCTATTATCTTTCCATAATTCTTTAATGCAACGGTATATTATGAGATATATTTCAATAGTTCGTTCATTTGTTTCCTTCATTTGTGGATGAACATGGACAGTTGGCTTCTAATATTTTTTTAGGTCATAATATATACAATTTGTCAACTGTAGGAATACATCTCGATGCGAGTTGAAAGACGATGAGAGCGCTTAACAATAAGTAATCTAGTTGGCAGAACAGCATGTGACAAAAATGTGTAGTGAAAATGAAATTTTTTTTCTGAGCAGAAACATTGAGTTTCAACAGGATAAACGAGGTCAATGATTGTAAATGATATTTATGGAATGAAAAGCGAATACCCAGTGATCATCCTATAAACTTGAAAAACGTTAAAGAACGTAGTGAAAGATCCTTATTATCCACTTCAACAAAAAAAAGATACAGAATGGCAAAAGTCTTCTTCGAAGATATGTCGAAGAAAAAAATCTCGACCTGAGGAGAGTATTGAGAGAAACTGAATATAGATGGGGAAAAGAAATAATAGGAAATTACCTATGGAAAAGTATGTCATGGGATTGGCCGATCTATAACAGACGTGTAGTAAAAACACGCCTGAAGAAGCTATTGTATAGCGGAACACGTGATACGTTTTTGTTTTGTGAAAATCTCACAATAAAGTTTTTCGTGAATACGTCATGGAGAAGTCATGAATCCAACATTTGAGGAGAAAATATTTTGAAGATACAAAGAAATTCAGAGAAGGTTGACCAATAATTTATATGAATGAAACTCATATCCATTCATCTCAAACACATGCACCGATTTTAAAAGGATAGAGACCGATCAAAGTGAACACAGGGTGAGAGGAAGTGGACTAATGCAAATCTGTAATCAGAAATTAAAATCTCATAAAACACAAAATTGACTTACTACCACAGTGAATTACGAAAATCACAAGAAGTGGTTTTTAAGTAATGTTAATTCCAAATCTTCCTGAAAAAATACAATGCTCTTTAGCACAATGTGAAAATTGAAAAATGCATCAACGTATCCAAAAAAGAAGAGATGAAAGAGTGAATGAGACGACGCAATATTCAACTCACAGATGGTAAGTATACTCAAAGTCTGTCCGTATTCTAAAATGAAAATCTACAAATTGAAATTCAAACTAGAAGGAATTGATAGGATGATAGAAAATCCTGGACACACAGTAATCAGTTTTAGTCATCTTCTGATGATGCTAACTGGTGAGCAAAACGAGCGTAGAGAGACAGGATTTTTGTTCTGGTAAGGGAAAAGTGTTATCAATAGACACAGTAATCAGACCATTCTCTTCTTTCGCGATTCAAGGTTTTTATTGATTTCTGAAAGTTTTATTCATTATTTTCCAGTCGACTAAAATGAAAAATGTATTGCAATTCTTTCAATTCCTACATAACTCTTATGAAATTTCCAATACAAGAACATAGGTACATTGCTTTATACGAATTCACCTAAATATAATTATAAAGATATTATTTTGACCCACTCAATCTATAATCATTAGACAGTACCTATTCAAGTCTTCCTTAATAGCAAGTATAACACCCAAGGTATTGTATATCTATTAAAGAAAATCTTAAAAGAAGTCAATAAAATATCTCTTGTGGAAATCCAACTTCCGCCCTCTGTTATTCTGAATTTGTCAGGTAAATAAATATAGATGATACTCTGATAATAACTACTTTTGTTATTCTGACGTTATTTTGCCAATATCATAGCTATAAAATGGAAATATTCGAAAATCAGAGCTTCATATTCATTAGACTGTCTTATTTGTGAGCGCTAGTTTTCATACTAATGCGTAATCCATCAGGAAATACGTAGTTTGTGAGAATTTTCGAATTTTTTTCGGTATTTGACAAAAAGTAACTTACAAAACTTCAAGCTTCATGAAAAATATCGCCTGAAAAAACTTCTAATAAATATATCCATAATGATAACCAATGAAGGACAATCAATTATGTTCCATTTCAATTACTTCAGCTACGTTGAAAGGACGTGAAAAAGTTCCATCCTTCCTGATAATATCATTCGTCAACATTGAATTATGAATGTGTGAAATGGAAACAGGTTTCTTCACCTCTCCATTCAAACTAAACGTACATTCATACGCAAAACAAATTTTACACAAGAAACTCTAATGCACGTTGATCCGTTCAGTGAGACTTTCACAAAACTCGATACGTCTATCGAAATTATCTTCGTTCAATTCATGAACTAGTCTAATCTCATATGGATGAAACTTGTACTTATGGAGGATCCTGAAAACATTAGTACAACTGATTTCTGATTCTCGAGATAACTTAGTGAGATAATGCGAATTTTCCATTAGTCCAACGTGCCCTAAAACTGTAGTACAAATAGCTTCATCGTTAACAACTCCTGAAAGGTTATACTTTCTATTGTTAACAGATCCAGTTTCCATAAATTTGGTCAATAATTCCGAAACGTATTTCTGTCGTCTGTCCGAAACGTATTTCCTGGATGATTATCATTGAACAGAACATACGAGCAGCAGCTTTAGCACTATTTACATTCTAGTAGTACAAACTCACTATTTCAATCAATTCTCGAAGCGTATAAACCATTGCTTCTCAAGAATTCACAAAAACAGAAACACCAGTTATTGTAACTTCCTCTGGTAGGTAATCGTTATTGTAGAATGAGACAAATACAAAATGGAGAGAATATCGAATTCGAACTCAACTAGGCAAAATGGGACTTTTTTGAAGTATACTTCACAAAAACACCTATGAAACCAAGGAAAGAAATCGTTCGGAAGTTCATTCAGGGTGGTTTGTTTTTAACTCAAAAATTTTTAGCTTCCAAACTATGAGCTTCAGACCATAATGTATCCTACTTTGTTGAAATCTGTTCATCATGGAACATCTGATAATGCCAAACAATTGATGCATTGAAAAAAATGGTGACATGCTCTGGGGGTACAATAGGGAAAGAAAATATGTCCCCCTGTATACTATTGTTGAGGTAATTTTTTATTTTTTCTGAAAATCATTGGTCCAAAAGTTATTCTGGGTGGCTCGTTTTCAACTCAAAAAATTTGTAGCTCCCGAACCATAAGCTTCAGACCATATGTTTCATTCTTGAAATCTACTCATAATGGAGCATCTGATAGTGCGAAACAATATAGGGTGATCCATTAAAAAAAATTGGTGACATGCTCTGGAGTATGATAGGGGATGTAACATCAAATGTGAATATGTCAAAATGTGTCCCCCCGTATACTATTGTTGACGTGTTTTCTATTTTTCCTGCAAATTATTGTACCAAAAGTTATTCAGGGTGGCTCGTTTTAAATGGAATGCACTGTATTTAGATTGAATATGGTGCTGATCATGTCTACTTTCACTGAGTAGAGGGAAACTGAATATATTCCAGAATGATCGACAAACTGACTCACCTCTAACTTTTATTTGAAGTGATATAATTGCCTTGGCATCTCCATGGCAATTTTTCGCGTACACCGTGTAGGTACCAGTGTAATCTATTTTGGCATTTGGTATTTCCAATCGGTATTCAGGCCCATCTTCGATTCGGTGAAAATGTGCAGCATCGCGATAATAATCAGGCTGCAAATGAAAATTGATATCAGATAACACGACACTTCACTTCATCACAATAATACAATAGAATGAGGTTTTCACAGAAAATGAATATCAGTTTTAGTTTAAATTATGGTGTTTATCAGCATGTGTAAATATTTGCGATTATGCTGTCGAAAAACGTGGGCTATATAATACTAAATAGTAGTAGTAATAATATTCCAGTATTTTCAGTTCTACCCTGATCAATTGCGTATCATCCGAAATAACGTTTCATATACTCCCTAATTCACAAAAAAAATGTAGACTTTGTTTTGGAGGACACGTACTCCAAAAAACAATTTATCACTTTTATTAGAGTTATTGTCCCTTTTAACTATTCACTGTTGTTTCAATTAGTTAAAACTTTACGAGTGTTCGCATACCTTTCAGATTTGATAATATATCAAGGAAAACACGAATTTCCATGCTGGCTTCATATTCATGAACTCAAGTTTCAGTTCTTGAACTGAACTGAATGTTTTCCAATTCTGAAGGACACAGATTGTAGCCTCCGAAACATCAAGATAAATATCTAAATTATTGAAGACGACAAATTACTGATGAATAGAATACATTTCTTTGTGAAACATACTTTCAATTCTGAATAATATATCATAAAACAATAGTCATTTCCTTCTACAGATATTCCCTTTGATAAAGTCTCAAAAATAGCCCCCAGAAAACCTTATTGTTTTTATCTTCGAAACAAACAGACGAAACCAATTCCAAAATTGACTTTCATGTATTTTCGTCAACCACGCTTTCAATAACAAATTTGCCAGGATTTATTTCTATGATTACAAGGAGAATCCCGCAAGAAAACAAATGAGTCATTCGGTTCAAGTTTCTCGACCTTCCAAGAATAATCTTACATCTTACAATTAAATTTATAGTACGCTATTCTTGTGCCAATGGGTTGTCTTTCTCGAGATATCACCTTTGAGTGGGTCTCGCGAGTAAACGGCCTTCAATAAATTTGCTATTATATAAGAAAGCGCAGGCAGTGGTGTGCTAGATTTTATATCCCAGGTAAGAGAAATAGAAAACTTTTTAATGAAGTAGAAACACGATAAAACGAACGCATTTCTGATTATATGAGCAAAATAAAGCAATAAAATCAGTATTATACGCAAAAAGGAAAAGTTTCAAGACAAAGGCCTCTTCTTGATCTATATAAGTAGATCAAGGTTTATATCAGTGTATTAGTAAGTCTTATTTGCTTTTGACATGCAAAGAAAACCCTCAAATAAATCTTTAGTACTACCCTATTGAAGGAATATTCACTTTTATATCCAGTGACTCAAGAAATACAGACAGATATAAGACTAGTGCGATCTGCAGGGTAAATACAAGTATTTCAGTGAATCTTATGCACATTTGCTCTAGACCTGGAAAGAAAACCTTGGAATGAATCTTCAGTACTCCCGTGTCAAGGAAGTATTCACCTTTATCTTCAATGACTCAAAAAATTAAAGCAGAAATAGTCAAGTGCAAGCTGTTCTTAAAAATACATCTTTGAGACACCAAATTTACGGCAATGCAAGACTCATCATCTTCAATTAAATGAAACTGGGATAATGGGTTTAACTCCATTATCAAGTTAAACCCGAAACCGGTCGTATAAATAAAATTAACTAGTGGTAATTAGACAAAACTGTCTTTATTCATTTCATTAAAGTGATCATGATTTATCAGAAAATAAGCAAGTCATATCTCATCATCTTTATCTTCACTTGAGAAATATGCTATACTATCGTCGTAAAATCCACGATCTCAACATGGTAGAAATTCAGATAATCTTCCCATGATCATAAACAATTGTTTTCGTGTTCACAGAACATTGTAATTTTTTTTAAATCTCAACTATAACTGGAAATTTAGAAACGATCCAGCTTGAGATTGATTGATATTGACAAAATTACTTTCATTGAGGGAATGATTAGATCTTTCCAATGAAATTCTTGCACAGGCTACTAACTTCCTGAAAAATCGGTCAGTAACTGACCTCAACGTCGTTTATTGAAATGAAAATATCAGTAATGAACATCAACAATAATTTGTGTCTCTCACATCTCTCCCTGTCATAGATAAAAATATTTAAATTGAAAAGACAAAAATTGGATCATTTTTTTTTCGTAAAAAGTATTTTAGCTTGCTACTTCTTCATAATCGAACAAAAATTGTGGTAAACCTTAAAAAAAGAAAAAAAATTAATTTCATTTCGTGTTTATTGATGGAGACATTTTTTCCCAAAAAAGTTGAAAATAATTGGACCAGTGTGTCATTCTGGTACCTGAAAATCTGCGTAATAGACAGAAACCACGTGATATGACGAAAATCTGAATCCACGTCAGAGTCCAAACACAGAGTCTAAAGTTATTTGTTCATAGAAGCCATGCTTACAATACATCCAATACAATACAATACATTTAAAATCTTCAAACATGTTATTGAATTTTCGATATATTAGGTTGTTTTGAAAGTTTTATCCGTTTCGATGTCATGTGTTTTCATTCTAATATGTCGTCTTATATACTTGTAATTTATGTGTTACTGTTTGTTATTCGTACTATTTTCTACCTTCCCGATCTTAAATTACACTTTCAATTTCTCGGAATTATGCAATAGAGGATCCAAGGTAGATGACTACTCGAAGAAAATCTCTCAAGGAGTGGGTAGATTAGGATTCAAACACTATGATGAGTGATTGTGGGGAGTTGTATAATTTCCAACGATAAAAAAACTACACTTCGGTTATGTTTCGGTGTGAAAATAGGACAACAAAATAAATCGCGCTCTAGCTCTCTATTTCAACGTTATTCAAACAAATAGCCAGGGGTGACCGATATCGTTTATATCAAGTAAGGAGTCCCCTTTAGGTATCGATACCAAAAGTTCACAAAAGTAAGTATAAAATATATAGAAGGACAAGATATATGTGGTAGAAAAAAACTTTATTTAGTTTTAGCCAGAAAAACAGTATGAATAACGATACAGCTCACTTGTGATAGTTATTGTTTTCCACCCTGAGTACAGCTTCGTAGGAGGATGTTGTCTTGTCGAGAGTGACCGTGTAGCAGGGTAGGCCTAGGCGTTCGAACAAAGCATCCAAAATACTCGCTACGTAATCACTTCGACTGAATGTCCAAGTTGGGGAGTGATTGCGCTCCTGGGTGAACTTATTTTCCAATCAATGATCCAGGCTTAGGTGATGAATACTACCACGGGCTATCTTCAACTAGATATTCGACCCTTATCTTCAATGGTAAGTAAAACCAGGCTGAACTGAACCCTTACGTAAAGGCAAATTGATGTAAAGTAGGATAGTTAATAAGCCCACGTAACGTAAAATAACAAGTAGCAAAAGTGAAAAAGGCCCTAAAAAGAACATATTCATGAAAAGTTTGACCGGGTTCACATGAATTTGAATGTAATACATGCAGAAGCTGATAAAACCTACCTCGATGATAATGATAATGTAGTAATTATTCAATGTGAATTTAGCAAACTTGTGTAATTCGGGAACAAATCTTCTTGAAATAGTCAGAGGACCTTCCTTTGACTAACTTTTCCGCAAAATTACAAGAGTTTCAAAGAAAAATCCGCAAACAAGCGACACACGTCTTTCCAATCTTTCTAGAACACCGAAAAAATGATCATTCACAGCAACTCTCCTCTTTTATTTAACATTAACATTGTTAACTTTTTTTTGAATATGATGTCGTTAAGCGATTTTCGACCAACTTTTCTCGACGAATTCAAATTGAACCAAAGCGCTGCCGAAACAGTCGGAGAAATCATCCAGGCATTTGGCAATCATTTGGCAATGAACGCACTATTCGACAGTTGTTTGCGAAATTTCGTTCCAGAGATTTCAGTCTCGAAGATGAGTCCTGAAGTGGTCGACCTACAGTAATTCAAGGCGGAGATTTGAGGACCCTGGTGTAGACTGACCCATCACAAACGGTGCCTGGGATGACGGAAGAACTGGGTGTCAGTTCCCATGCGGTTTTCGATGGTTTAAAACGTATGGGAGAGGTCAAAAAGCTCGATAAGGTGGTGCCCCATCATTTGAACGATCGACAGAAATTGTCACGTTTCGAACTCTGTTCTTCGCTTATCCGCAACTAAAACGATCCTTTTTTGGATCAGATCGACACGTGTGATGAAAAGGAGACGTACAGAACAGTGGTCACAGATCGATGAACCACTCAGGCACTTACTGAAAGCGAAAATTCACTAAAAAGAGAATATGGTTACAGTATGGTGGTCAGCGGCTGGGCCACAAGGTCCAATCCTGCTCCACGACAACGCTAGTCGGCATATTCAAAAAATTATCGTTCTGAATTTGCAAAATACATCACGACATGTTTCGCTAACATGCTGTAGACTATAACTATTGGAATATATTCAAACTAAATCAGCACTCCAAAAATGGACTGTAGACGGGATTCAGTTCACAAACAATGAAGTAACTTCACTCACTAATTTCCAGAAGAATTTAACAAAAGTAACGCCAATATATAAAATAACAAACTATGATTATATAGAAATCAGGGTAGGAAATTATCATCTTCATTGTTATCAAAGGGCCTGAGTCGGAAAAATTATTTCTGAAAGTAGGAACATTCAACTAATAGAATATTATGTTGATATTGGATATATCAGCTGTTGAAATTATTTGACATAAGCCTCAGCTCGATATAATTCAATAACAGGAACAGTGAAATGCGAAGTATGATGAATATAAATTCGTTGGTAATACTTGCTATAATTTTTTCACTCATACAATATTATTAGTTTCGATTCGAAACAGAATCGGTTGTACGCCTATGAACTAACTTTCTGCAGAAATTGGCGCCAGAGTAGGAGATATGCTAAAGAAATAGTTTGTCAATATTCATTTGGATTTACTACACTGCTACCACAGTTAACAACAACAATAAAAAACAACTGATTGACTTATATTTCATTTGATATCGAGCAATGAAAAAGTACCACA